TTATAGATTTTTCTATTATGCCAAAAATCATTAGGATATTAAGTAAAGATCATGTTCCATGAAGATATGTTGTTAATTTCCTACTGTAAATATATCAAAACTATTTTGATTAGCAATATGCATTGCTAAGGACTTCATTTAGACAACTTTAAAGGTGATTTTCTCAGTATTTAGATTTTTTTTTTGCACCCTCAGATTCCAGATTTTCAAATAAATAGCTGTATCTCGGCCAAATATCGTCATATCCTAACAAACCATGTGTAAATCTCAATTAATAAAAATTAATTAATGTTTTGTGGTCCAGGGTCACATATGCTTAATAAAATTCAGTGTTAGTACATGAGATGTCTACAACATGAAAATGCTGACATGAAAATAAATCCAGTTTACCTAAAACACATACTCAAATTTCACAAAAAAACTGGAGACAGAAATAGTTTACTATCCATTGACAAAGTCAGGTCACGTTTATATAGCACTTTATATTATACAGATTGTTTCAAAGTAGCTTTGCACTAATAAACAGAAACATAAGTGTTAATGTTGTAAAATTCATTAATTATGAAAAATTTAATTTCAGCTAATACAGAAGATAATTGTGTCTTTATTCAGCTCAATTCAGTTCCAATATTGTTGACAATTCAGATGAATAAGTGTCAATTGTGCAAATGTGATCAGAAATATGTTCAACTTCAGAAGGCATTAGTTTCTAGTTATTCGTATTCAGCTTAAGTCAGTTCAAAGCTGGCAGTAAAATTTGCAACTGAAAAAGAAGGAAGATAAATACTTCTGTTAATTGGCTAAGCAGACATGGCTATCGACCAGTAATCTCAAATACTGCATTTTACGCTGCAGGTCTTGATGCCTAATTATCTGCATTTACACTATACTCTTGGTAAAACAATCCAAGGTAGACATACTGACCTGGAAAAGCATCCATATGAGTTAACGTCATTTGCCACCCTTGCTTTTTCAATGATGTACGACTCTCTTTGACGGGAATATATCTGATCTGTCTGCTTACATGGCAGATGCCAATGCATATATCTTGATTCACACTGTAAAAAATGACCGTGAATTTAACGGTAAAAGACTGTAAAAATGCTACAGTAAAAACCTGTTAAATGGTTAACGGTAAATTCCCCTACTATATACGGTGAAAAACTGTATTGACATTACATGTATTGGACATAAATTTTACGGTAGTATACCGTTTTTGGAAGTGAAAAATACCGTATAATTTACAGTGAATAACCGTAAATTGACATTCCCAGAATTCCCTGCGTTACATTTCAAATTTGATGTTTTTTTGTTGAAATAACTGTTTCTTCTTAGTTTTTTCTTATCAGTTTTGTATATTAGGGTTGTGTGTTACAACTAATGTTGTTAAATGAATGTTTATTGCATTATTTCAGTTTCATGTGTGTTACCATGATGGTGTTTAGCGTTTGTGTGAATGACACTGTGCACCTTCTATAAATGTTATTATTTAAAAGCTGCTTGTGATGGGCTTTGGTTCATCATGTGACTTTCTCATCACCACCTGCATTTGGTGGTTATCAGTGTATTACAAAGGTACAAAACAGATTTCAGTACTTAAATAGGTTGGTATATTAACATTGTCAGTTAATGAAATTACGGTATTTAACTGTAAATTTAAGTTAAAACCATAAAACCTAAAACGTTTTTTTTACAGTGCATATTAGATTTATTTCCACATATAAATAATGCCTGAAACCATGTTCAGTCGATCCTTATTTTTTTCTTTAATACCCTGTCGGATTTCATATATGCTTTCTATGTGGGTAGCAGATTGTGTTAACCTTCCTCAGATCTCAGACACTGTGGCCTTTTCAGGGTCGCCACATGGAATATATGAAGCAACCCCCCAAAGGCTCTTCCTCACTATTCTTCATCTGCTAGCCTTTTCAAAAAGTGGCAATGGAGGCAATCCCCAAGGGTTATGCATATAGGCTATGTTAGCATTAGCGTGTGTTTAGTATGGGTCTCTTGAGAAATTATAGACTGTTGTTATCTGACATCATTGAGCAGAAGATGGAAGCAAAGCATGCATTGCTTTGTGCATGGAGATGGACACAATAAAGAATAAAACAGGGTCCCAAAATCGAATACGTTTCCTACCTAAACAACATTTAAGACACCATATGCACACTCTGTGTAAAAACAGTTTCTAAAAGTAAGCTGCTTTGTTTGGGCCAAATTGTGGATAAGGCAAATCAGACAATATGGTGGATGGGTTTAGACAAATATATTGTTAATATGCTTATTTCATCAAATACCTAAAAGTTTTGATATAATGCAGCCTATTTTATAATATTTTACACAATATTTGTGTATACAGTTTTAACGCTAATGAGATGATTGTGATACGTATTTGTATGCTAATTAATAACACTGATAGCATAGTAATATACTTGAGTCAGCCTTTCTGATAGGGCGATATAGCTAAAAAAATGTATCAACGATATAATGTTTCATATCGTTCGGTATCGATAATTATTGACATTTTTTATAACAGAGCAATAGACATTTTTTTTTTTACATTTAACCACTGTATTTTTAAATTAAACAAAAAAACAAACAAAATAAAAATTAAACATCTCATTTCTAATGTTTTATATGCAGATTAAATAGGTTAAACTTTTGGCTTGTCTCCCCAGGCCACAGGAGGGCGCAATGAGCAAAATAATGCAGCACATTTAAAATGTTCAACGCAAGGAAGTAATAGTCTATAAAAAAACGTGCATTACGTCTAAGTTAACTCATATAAATCAAATATAATTTCATAAATTGCATAAACAATTATGAACAAAACAGCATCACGTATTTATGCATTGCTTAATACAAAGAGCCGAAGCGCCATTCACACAGACTGCATTTAAAAACACATGAGACGCAGTGAAAAGGAATAAACCTCCACAAATTTGCGACATGTTTTCTAAAAGTTTAAGCTGTTTTAACTTTGCATGGCTTTCTATACATCTCTTGTGTGAGACGCGAGTGCAGCGGTCGCATTTCTCCGTCTAGAAAATGCGCTGAATATGCGTTCTGTGTGAATGGCTTGGTTTCGGTTTTAACCTAATCAAGATCTTCTCCGCATTGAGCTTCTATATTTCTCTAATATTTTGAATGAATAACGCAGCAACTGCGCATCTCGTGGGCTAGACTAACAAAACATTAAACTACAACGTCACTTGCATCATCACGGCATTTCGTGCTCCACTGATGCTGCTCCCTGAATCCGCATTGAGCTTCTATATTTCTCTAATATTTTGAATGAATAACGCAGCAACTGCGCATCTCGTGGGCTAGACTAGCAAAACGTTAAACTACAACGTCACTTGCATCATCACGGCATCTCGTGCTCCACTGATGATGCTCCCTGATGCACATCTAACATTGGATTGTACTATTTTTGCATTCAAATGCAAATGTTTATTTTAAATTCGACTAATATTCATTCTTTACTCACAATCTCCTCATCACATGGCACAGCCCTCGTGTTTGTGTGTGCTGTCTGCGTCACTCATAGCACGTGCCTATATCGAACATTTTTTATATCATTATCGAAGGAGGTGTACCGTTATATCGCCCAGGCCTACTTTCTGACTCCAAATCTAAATTTACATGACTTTACCAATTGTTGTGATTTTTCTGGATAAAGATTAAGGATGAGAATGTATGTTTTTATAATTCTTGCCCAATAAAATACTTTAGAGCTAATATTTAACATTCTATTAATTTACATAACTTTTTCAGGTCTGGAAATTTCACTCAAAATTAGGCTTCCTCATAAATACAGTTTTCTGGAGGGCCGTTTGTGTGGTGCTCAGAGTTGCAGCCTATGAAGATTGTCCAAATTAGTTATAAATGAGCTTTCATTTCATTGAAGGTGCTGTCTTGAGGCTGGTACACATTACATGAATTTTGCCTATATCTTTGCCCCAGCTTGCAGACTGGAGGTGTCATCGATTGTTGCTGAAAGACAAAGTTGGAGTTAGCAGTTGGATTTGACCGATTGCACAGAAAATCCTCCTTTCATAATTTCTTTTAGTCTATATTACACATTTTTGTTTGTCATGCATCTCCAAGCAGTGTTGCATGTTATTGCAAAAGTTTATGTTTGGAGTGACTCAAATATCTGGTACTGTGTGATCTTCAGTCTTTTATAAGTTTTTCCTCTGTAACCATATATGATGTCTGCAAGTGCATAATGCCATGTGTTTTATAATTGATTCAGATCTTAGAAGTCATGTAGTGTATTCCAGTCTTTAGAAGACACAAGACAGCTGTCTACATTTGCTCATTTGGCAGACAGTGCTCTTATTCAAATTGACTTACATTGCATTCAATATAAACATTTGATTTGTTCATCTATTCCCTAAGAATCGAACTTGTGACTTTGGCATTGCTAACGCCATACTCTATTGTTATCTAGCATTGTGTCTAACATTGATCGCCATGGGCATTTTCTTTGATAATAGAGAATGATCCGACTCTCACCATATGTAAACCTTAACAACTCTTCTGGAGTCATGGATTTGCAGGCTTAGGCTATTTGCTGCTCTCTTAGATGTCCTCTGAGCGTTTGAGCCCACAGTGCACACCTTTAGCCACTATTGTTCTATTGTAATGTGAAACGTTTTGTGCAGCTGAGCGTGGGGGCCGTGTAGGCACTGTGGGCTCTAATTAACACATATTTGATCGTTGGCACTGCTGAAAAGACCTGAACACAGACATGTTGTGTTCTGTAGTGTAGTTTTAGAGTTGTATTTTAACATGGAAATGAAAATGGAACTTTGTTCCAATTTTGTTATACAATGCTATGGAACTTTGTTCCATTTTGGGTCTGTTTGACTGTCTTTTCCTCTGCTGTGTGTATTGATCAGTGAACCACTCATCTAGAACGGTTCTGTAAATAAGACTGAACTGAAGGGCATGACCACATTTATAATGATCTCTCTCTTTCTCTGTTACAGATGCCTTTGTCAACAGTCAGGAGTGGACACTCAGTCGCTCCGTACCAGAGCTCAAAGTGGTGAGTCCTGTCACTGATGTTTCAAATGTGCCATTTTTATCATAACTAATACAAGATTTAATTTGCATCATTTAATTACTTAAATTACTGTTGCATGCTCGTGACCTCACAACAAAACAGCTTTGATCAGGCTGTGTCCTCTTTAAATTGGCCTGAATACGCTGAATTCTCTGTTTCTTGTCCTGTGGAAAGTTAATTTAAAATTAAAAATAAACTCAATTTTAACACTCTCACTGCTTTATTTGTCGGTCCCCTAATAATGACATTTGTGTCATTTGACAGCGCCATTTCCTCCATCTCAAATTATTTCTTGTTTGATAGCATTCTGTGATGAAATTATTGCATGTGAAATTGACATCGTACAGTTTTAAAATTAAATGACTGACTTGTCATGCTAACGTATATTAATGCATGGACACAATTTGTTTAATCCAAAATAATAATAAAGAAAATGAAACAATATTTTAATATATTTAGCATAATTTAACACAATTACAGTTTGTTTAACACAAGTGCAGAACTCTTTCTTTAGAATTCTTTAAATGTAATTATTAGTAATAATGAATTTTATCATTTTAATTTCATTTCATAGTTCTTTAATCATATCGAATTAACTTTAAAAGTTTCAAACTGAAGTCTGGGTCTATGACAAGTAAAAATCAATAACATGATCAACAAGAAATTATAACAAAGGGTGTCCATTTTAATTGATCTTTAAATACCTTTTTTTAAATAAAAATCAATCCCTGGGACTTAAAAATACCCACAGTTAAAAAGACACCGTTTTACTGTACTGATGGTACTCCGTACTCAGCAAAGGATATAAAATCATTTTAATAATCTGTGTGTGTGCAGCATGATCCTCTCTCTCTCTCTCTCTCTCTCTCTCTCTCTCTCTCTCTCTCTGTGCGTATGTGTGTGCGTCACTGAAAGCAGCGCATTAATATAGAACAGTGATTAATCTGACTTGGAACTACCTGTGCATTATATGGTTTTAATGCATACCTGCCAGGCAATCAGAATCAAGTATTCAGACAGACCATGGTATAGTAGGACTTGCTTCAGGTCTAAGCTGAGACACTGTTTATTTACATGCCAAAATATCATGTAAGGGACCCCTATTAATTCTGTGTGTGTATTTGTGTGTGCAGGGCATTGTGGGTAACTTGGCCAGTGGGAAGTCTGCCCTGGTGCACAGGTATCTGACAGGGACGTACGTGCAAGAAGAGAGCCCTGAAGGTAGGTGTTTTGCTATCAAATATGCAGGTGAAATTTGGAGAATCATTAAAAGCCTTTGTACTTTTATATCTCTCACTGTCTTTATCTTTAACAGTTTATATTACTCACTTTAATGCTTTTGAAAGGCTTTACAATGGCGTATATGTGTCCTTCTGTTCTTAGATCCCATTTAAGTCTTGAAGTTATGTGTAGATACAATTAATATTCCTCTCTTTTCAGTATTGCTGAGGCATAGCCTAGATACTCTTCTTATTTTTCTCTCCTTCTCTTATTCTTTCTCTCTCTCGCCGCACACCTGCTGTTAGTATGTTAGAACAGTACAGTTGTGCCGGAGGACTGTGCTATACTCCCCATGTATAATTGAGAACATTCAAGGCACACCGCCAGACCACCACAATATGCTCTCTTCCTCAAGCCCGGATCTGCTTTCAAAAGCTCCCCGTGTCAATGTTTCATGTCCTTTATAACTGTTATTATGTAGTCATGTTAAATTGGCCTTTCAGATGGCTCCCTCACGGAGCAGAGTTTGTACATTTTAGGGCTTTTCTTTAAAAATCGTAATTAGTTTAAGCAACATTTAGTACAATTGTGCTTAACTGCAGTAATCTGAGTGCCTGGGGGTCCCGCAGAGAGCTTGAGGTCACAGAAGAGGGCAGTTACCGGGCACTAATCATGTCTTGTCCTCTCCTTTGCACTTTACCGTATAAAAACTCAAGCCACTGCATAGCAGCGGTCAACCAGGAAATCGCCTTGCAAGAAAAAAAAATCCCCCAGAAATGTCAATTGCCTGTTTGCCGCAGTGGATTATAGCACAGAGTGCCAAAGGAAACTTAGCGCGACATCAGAGACCGTTGAAGTGTGTGCCTTGCTAAGCTCAAGCGACACGGTTAAATCTTTCACGTTTGAGGCCAGCACGTCATCTGATGATAGAAGTGCCGCAAAACTCAGATTTGCAGTGGCGTTACATCACATTTCAGCTACAGAAAGCTGTGATTTGAATTTCCAAATTTACATTCCAATAATAGGGCTGGGTATCGAGTTCGATACTTTTTAGGCACCGACCGAAATTCCTCGATACCATTGAGTATCGAAAAACGTCTCGTCATTTGGTACCAAATTTCGATACCTAAGGGCTTAATCTCATCAGTGTCAGTGAGCCAATAAGCCTGCAGCACTAGCCGGTGTGTTCGACTAGAAGAGGTGCGGCGCAGATCGATCAGTGTTTGACATCTGCGAGAGCGATTCGAAAGCGCACGGAGCAGTCTGCTCTCTTTAACTCTCGTGGTACTGTAATACACCGATCGGTCTGCACAGTCAGTCCGCGTCAAGTCGAACACACCTACTAGTTTACACCGGTTACACTCAGCGATGTGGCGCACACGTGAGGCTGTAGTGCGAATGCGTCCCTGCCCCCTTAGATATAAGACTACATTTACACTGGTGCATTTATGTTTTAAAATGAAAATGTTTCATGTTTACATTGGGCACTCCCCACCAGGTACAATATTCTGATTGTTTGCATCTTTTTTTTAGCCCATAAATAATAATGTACTTGTTATAATAAATTTATATTGTGATGTACTCATTCTAATATGTTAAAAAAATTATTTACATTGCTGGTAGGTTATCATTGGACAAATTAACACTCTCTATAATAAAAAAAGGCTGATTTATACTCGAGCGTCTGCAAGTTCGCTTTGAGTGCGTGCGACGTTGTTTCGTGTGGAGGTGTGCACAACATTTTTTGTAACTTTCCGCGCAGCTCCGCTTCCGAAGATGCAGAGTTCAGAGCGACTCTAGCCGAACATGCACGTCTGTGCCAGCATTGGTGTGAAACAGAAGCAGTTTGGTGTTAAGTTCAGTCACACACACAGATCACGCTGCGGCCGAACTCAGACATTCAGGAACAAACTTTTTAGCGCTGCCCTGCAGTTTTATCAACTAAATAGCTTAATCGCTCAAGAGCTACATTATCTTTCTCAACAAGGAGCTGGTAACATCATTGTTTCTAAAGGAATTAAAGCCACATCTTTACTGTTAATAGAGAAACGCGGCAAAACGGTGGTAATTCATACATACACAGCCTCTCTCTCTCGCTCTGTGTCGTAAATGAACAGTTGATGAATCACACTTTTGTGAGAATAGACTTGAAGTGGAGATAGCTAAACTGCAAGCTAAGCGGTGTTTTCAGAAAGCAAGCGCTTTTATCCACAGTGGAGAGAGAGTGCGTGTGCACATGGTTGCCAGGTTGACAAAGATAAGTGGCACGTTTAGCAGATATTTCTGTATTGCGCAAGTGTAAAGCTCTGTTTTGGGGATTATGTCTCTTTATATCAGGCAACCCCGTTGTGTTCCTCTGCGGCCAGATTATTAACAGATGCTCTATTCATTCTTTTTTAGAAACCTCACACTTTTCTACTAAATTTTAAACGTTGTAAAATTAAGCGTGGTCCACTGCTGCACACGTGCCACAGTATCGATACAGGGCCAGCTGTATCGATACTCATATCGTCAAATCTCTGTGACGATACATCGTTGTATCGATATTTTGAACACAGCACTAATTAACAGTCAGTCCTTTGGGAATGAAAAGGGACATTCCACAACGTCGCAGCAGCAGTAGATCTTATACAGGAGCTCCAAAACGGAAATCCTTTGCTGTTAACAGTGTTTTCACAGAAAGAATAGAAGATGCAAAAAAGCAGTTGCCATGCTACAGCTGTCTGTGACAGTGGACTGAACCCTGCTGTGAATCTTACACGGAATAAAATTGTGCACATAATTTATTTAATACATTTTTTATAGTACTCACCTTTGTATATTTACTAGTTCTGAACTCTGATTTATAGAACAAATATATACCCCCCCCCCCCCAAAAAAAAAATAATTAGAAAATAACAAAATGATACACATGCCCTTCTTTGTTTCCATTTCAATCAACAGTCCACCAATCATCTCATTTATAAGTAGTGAATGTATTAGAATCATCAGACTCGCTTCTTTTGTTGGACAGGAGGACGTTTTAAAAAGGAGATTGTAGTGGATGGACAAAGTTACCTCCTCCTAATCAGGGATGAAGGGGGACCTCCGGAGGCTCAGGTAGGAAGTGCAGCCACAAATACAATGCGTTTTCCTTACAGAGGATGTTCTGATTCACAATGCTGAGCCTTAGTCTCAACTCTGGATGGCGTAGCTAGAACAATATATTAGTTTTGTTTTACAAAGCGGCTGAGTGGAAACCATGATGTAATAGGGTTTACATGAGGCTGATAACATTTATTTAGACAAACTGATTCTTAGTTAGTCATAAAATGCAAACAGGATGTCTCATGTGGCCTCTTTCTCATGGCCTGTGAAATATGAATTTTATAGTGTGTCCCATTGAGCAGGGAATCAGTCATTTCGAGCTGACAGAGTTGTTTGAGTGCATTTCTTATGGATATTCCCAGAATTAACCATAAATCCTGTGAGCATTGTTTGTTCCATATATTTACTTACCCAAAATGTTGTCATGGCTTCTTAAGTCTGCTTTTTAGGACAGCTACAACTAAGATGCAACTAAGTCCCATCAGTGTCCCAATATGTAATGGTTCAAAGCCCTTGCTAGTGCACAAGTTCACATTCACAATAATCACATCATAGGGAATCTTCATTATTTATGAAATGTGTTTAGCCTATTTTAAACAGAAGTATTGTTGTTGTTTTTTTAAAATAATGTTTCTCTCTAACTTTCTAAATTCTTCCCACTCTCTCAATCATTCTTTCTCAGTTTGCGTTGTGGGTAGATGCGGTGATTTTTGTGTTCAGTCTGGAAGATGAGATCAGCTTTCAGACGGTCTACCACTACTATAGTCGCATGGCCAACTACCGCAACACAGCAGAGGTGCCCCTGGTGCTTGTGGGAACTCAGGGTGAGTCTTGGAGAGAAAAAAACCTGGATATATCATATGACAGCAACTCACACTCCGAATTCAAGGCCATATTCTCCAGTGGCTTGGCAACAATTTGAATAGAGTACAGTTTGACGAGTAGGCACAAACTTTTTACATATTTCAGGGATTATTGTTATCAGTTATTTTTACACATTACTTGTTGATCAGTTTTTTTGGGCAAGTATTATTTATAGATATTTTATATGGACACTACTTTTCAAAACATTGGGGTTGGTAAGATTTATTCATATATTTTTTTATGTTTTAAGTCTCTGAAGTATGGAAGCCCGTTTCCACCACTGAATAAAAAATAAAATAGGTAATTGTGACTTTTTATCTCGCTATTCAGAATTGTGAGATAAAAAGTCTCAATTGCCAGATATAAAGTCAGAATTGCCAGATATAAAAGTGCAGTTCTGATTTTTTTTTCTCAGAATTGCGTGATATAAACTCGAAATTGCAAAAAAAAAAAAATCAGAATTGCCAGTTTATATCTCGCAATTCTGACTTTATAGCACACAATTGCAAGTTATTAAGTCAGAATTGTGAGATATAAACTCGCAATTCTGAGAACATAGTCTTTTTCCCACCTCAGAATTGGAATTTGTAACTCAGTTGCGAATTTATATCTATTACCAATATATATTTTTATATATTACCAAATTAAAATAAGTAAATAAATACCTAAATGTACAATCATAACAATAACATTCTAAAATATTATTGCACTTTGAACTGTTTTCTATTATAATATATTTTAAAACCTAATTTATTTATTTTCAGTAACCATTACTTCCAGTGTCACATGATCCTTAAGAAATCATTCTAATATGCTGATTTGGTGCTCAAGAACATTGTTTTAGAGCTGTTTATGTTTATTTAACAAAAAAGTAGTGAATACACTGTTCGTCAAGGATTACACAAAGTTTAAAACAAAACTTATTTCCATTGTGGTCCTTGATGTAAAGCACAAACTTCACTCCCGGTAACAGGAACACTGGCATTGCATTATAAATACAAAAATTACAATAAAATTTCACATTTACAAAAATTTACAGTCACAAATAACCACATACGTAATACAAATTCATCAACAAAACAACCTACTTAAGAACCAACTTTTAGCTTTTAAACTAAAACTAACTATATTCGAGATACTTTTAATGTCCAGAGGTAACTTATTCCACAGAAGTGCCCCAGAATATCTTAAAGACCTACGACCATACATAGTTTTAAAATGACAATGTAATATCCATAAGACTTTGCCTAGTTTTATAACAATGTTGCTCATTTACCCTAGAAAAAAATACATTAAAATATGAAGGCGCTCTATTATTGATAATCGTATGTACCATTTTTAATTTAATATGTTCTAGTCTGCTTTCTATAGGTAACCAATCAAGACACTTAAAATGGGAAACCTCCACATGTGTAAAACGACTAAACCCTGAAACTAACCTTATCAATTTATTCTGAGATTTTTGTAACTTATCCAACCAACCATGAGACAAATCAGACATCCAAGAAATACATGCATATTCGAAATGACATGACACTAAACATGATGCAAGTAATTTTATACTCTGTTTATCAAGAAAAGTAACATGTCTGGCAAGAAATGTAGTCCTAGCATTAACCTTACCCAGAACTTTCATAGCCATACTTTCACCACTTAAATCATTGTCAAGGATACTTCCAAGATAGATAACAGAAGTTATATTTGATATTAAACAATCCCCCACCTTAACGGACATCTTAGAAACCTTATTCAGATTCTTTTTAGACCCAAATAATATGGATTCCGTTTTACCAAAATGCAACATAAGTTTGTTTTCATAGAGCCAGTCTCTTACCTTACAAAGCTCCTTACCTAAATGCGCTTGCATCCTACCAACATCCTTATCTGAAATTAACAAAGCAAAATCATCAGCATATAAAAACAAATTGCAATCACAAACTGCTTGCATGTCATTAATATATAAAAGAAACAAAAGAGGGCCTAAAACACTTCCCTGAGGGACTCCATTTTTAACAAAAGTTTCCTCCGAAAGAACCCCATCAATTTCTACTCTCTGAACTTAATATTAAGTTTGATATTTTTGTGAAAACCGTGATACATTTTTTTAGGATTCTTGTCAAATTCTTGTTAAATGTTAAATAAAAAGTTCTAATAAACAGCATTTTTATCATTATAAATGCCTTTACTGTTACTTTTTATGCAAGTATTCATTAAAAAAAAGAAATCTTACTGACCCCAAACTTTTGAACGCAGATATATATTTAAAATATTAAGTAATGCAAGAAAAAAAACCTTCATACTACTTGTGTTTTCAGTATATGAACACTAGGAGGTGCCACACTCTAATCAATGGAAGATTAGAGCTGCAGCTCATCTGCTTGTTCCCTTGTTCTTAAATATGTCCACAAGATATTTTGATGAATTTGTATTCTCTCACATTTGATGAAATTATTTTCTTAAAACACGAATTATTACAGTCATTATTCTGTCCAGGTTTAGTTTCAAATTTCTTTGTCTTGTCTTGACCATTCACAGATGCTATCAGTGCAGCTAATCCTCGTGTCATCGATGACACCCGCGCTCGCAAACTGTCCAACGACCTGAAGAGGTGCACATATTATGAGACCTGTGCGACCTACGGCCTCAACGTGGAGCGCGTCTTTCAAGATGGTGAGTCTCTTCATACTGTCCTAAATAGTGTAAAGTGTAAGCTTTATATTTGTGCTGTGTGAGAGAATTTACTGGCAAAGTTGTGTTAAACAAACACAAGGTCATCAGTGGTGGTTTAAATCCAACATTCTGCCCGAATGTGTTAATTGTATGTCACCTCTGTTAGATGATCTTCATCGCAGCACCGGTCATAACAGTTCATGCTTGCGTAACCGTTACTTTCGCATTATGTAGGTTACAGCATAAGGAACAGGAGGCAGAAAGTGCAAGGTGACTTTGCTGTTGAATAGCCGGCCCAATCTGGTTTAATCAGCTCTTAATTACAGGCTAAATGGCCCATCTCGCCTCGCATTGCTCTGTGGTATAGAGATAGCCGTGATGTTCTGTGTGCTGGATTTTGCTAGGACAGCTTCATTAACCATTGCAGGTGTAGTGTTGTGTACTTGCAGGTAAAAACACTATAATCTTAGAGAGATAAAGTGAGGATGAAGTTGTAAGCAGCCTTTGAGACCTGTGCTCCACTAGGGGGCACAAGACGGTAAGAAATGGGGCTCATTTCACAAGAATTTATTATTTGAAAAAGCATCAGAGGTCTTATGGACTTTTTTTTGTTCGAAAATTGGAATTGTGTTTATAGTACGTTTTGACAGACTTGATGTGCCATTTGAGCTTGATTATCATACTGGGAGGCTTAACAAGACATTTATATTTATGTTCCTGGCAAGTGCATTGTGGATGCGTATCTTTCAAGTGTTTTCGAGTGCATATTGTGTAAACTGCTAGTACCACAAAGTTATAATACACATGTGCAGTTGGAAAAGGAAAAAGGTAAAGTATGTTGGAATCCCACTAAAAGTCCAAGAAATCCCCAAGAAATGAATTCCCTTTTGAAGTACCATCGCTACAGCCAGCAAAGTGTTAGTTTTATAGCTAATTCACCACATTAAACAGTAAACTTCAGGGAAAGTCACTGTTACGCATGTTATGAATGAACAATTAATGTCAATTTCTTTAGAAAGTGACAATATAGAATTTTAAATTTTTACATAAAAATGCTGTTTTTAAACTTTCCATTCATCAAATAATTCTGAAAAAAATGTATAATTTTCACAAAAATATTAAGCACAACAACTGTTTTCAACATTGATAATAGATCGAGATAAGGGTAAAAAATGTTTCTTGAGCACCAAATTAACGTATTAGAATGATTTCTGAATGATCATGTGACACTGAAGACTAGAGTAATGGCTGCTGAAAATTCAGCTTTTCATCACATGGACAAATAACATAAAAAAATATATTAAAATATAAACCAGTTATTTTGAATTGTAAATATTTCACAATTTTATTTGACTTTTTACTTTTTGATCAAATAAATGCTATCTCGATGCACACAAGACACTTGCAAACACACTAAACAAGCATATCTCTAATAACAGATTAAGTATATATGGTACAGAATGTAATAATACTTTGATGAACACTGTCAACTACACACAGCAGCAGTAAATACAAATGCTTTAAGGGTACTGTAAATACAAGCAGCAGACATGCATTTATGAACACTCCATTGTGAGTGTCAGCCCTCATAAATGAACCTTTAGGTTATTTCTTAAAGATCTGTTTGAATGTAACTGCTTCTTCTATCCCCACTGAGGAACAAAAAAAGAATACAAGTGCAAGTATGATCTATCATGTAGAGAGCTGGGAGAGTTGATAGCGAGTCTTGGTCTGAGCTTGATGATGGGCTGGAGATGGTTAGGGCCCCTGGAAACAATGCTAACAAATTTGATTTTGACAGCAACAAACATCCATTATATAGACATGAATAAACATGAGAGAACATTGTGAAAAGAAATGGAAATCCAGTACAACCATTTAACTCAAACTGACACTTTTCTAACCTTTCCCTGGGCCCATATGATTTTTCATATTGATATTTAGTGAACGTTTGTTGTTGTGATGTTTGTGTGTTTTTCTAAGTAACTCTATCATGATTGTGTATATATATCTGAACACACTGTTGTAGTTTGCATGTGGTATTACGTGTGTTTGGTGTATTTGCACACACGTGTGTCTGTGTGTGGCAGATGTACGCAGCTCTTCGGAGGGGTTGGGCAGGCTGAAGCGTTCAGAGCTCCATCCAGGAGGAAGATTTACACTCGAAACGCTCAGCTATTATCTTCTTAATTATTACACTGTTGGCTGCAGCCAAGACTGCTGTAATTTAACTGTGTGTGTGTGTGTGTGTGTGTGTGTGTGTGTGTGTGTGTGTGTGTGTGTGTGTGTGTGTGTGTGTGTGTAAAAAGAGAGTGTGTATGTGTGTGTGAGAGGCAAGATTGTGTGTGTGTGTCTGTGTGTGCGTGTGTAGCTGGCTCTCAGTATGTGGTCTTGTACAGGATGAGCGTGAAAGGAAACAGAGACTCTGAGCTCTCAACAGAGATTCTCAATCTCCCAGCGTTTCTGACCTTCTCCAGTGTGTGTGTGTGTGTGTGTGTGTGTGTGTGTGTGTGTGTGTGTGTGTGTGTGTGTGTGTGTGTGTGTGTAAAAAGAGTGGGTGCATGTCTGTATGAGGGCCAAGCTCATCAGTAGCACTAAATGAGAGCAAGAAAAGGCTAAATTCCTGATCATTACTGACGCTGTCTCCTTGCATCTCTCATTTCATTATCCTCAATTAATCATGCATTCTAATTATCCACTGTAGTGGAATTTATTGATGAGTAGCAAAATGATTATTTTAATGTTTTGTGTTGCATTGATAGCATAGCAACTGCCCAGAGGTGTGTTTTGCGTGTGGATTCATGTCATTTTGTTTGCCTGATTTGGGCCTATTTTTGCAGCAGAGCAATGCATGAGCTGTCATTACTACACATGTGACCATAATTAAAGAGTTTTAATCATTGGCTCACTGCAGATTTACAGGCTCTGTATGATTTTGTGAGAGAACTGGACAACAGCAGTTGATATTTAAGTTGATCGTCTCAAAGTAGAAACAGTATGGACTGATTTGAAGTCTGTTTGGCTCCATAATCATATCACACATGAACAATTCCATTTTAGTATTTAAATGAGAGAAAATTTCCAATCTGGCTTTGTAAAAAATATAATAAATACTACATCATGACATCAAATATAATATAGCTGTTTTACTAAAAAGTATGCATTTTGCAAAACAGTGACATTGCAAAAATATTTATAATTATAATATCTAGGGATGCTCATTTTGGTTATTTCTCCTAACCGACAATCGACACTCGTTAACCGATTATTAAACGTTAACTGACAAGATTATTTTTGAATTAGAATTGAATTAAATTAGAAAGGATAAGTGTCTGTGACCCGTTAAAAATACCAACATTTGTTTTCCAGGGATTCATTTTACATGCGCAAAAAGCAGCAAACAACAGAACATGAAGATTCACATGGTCACATCACGCACTTGCAGCGCTTCTGCGACCGGAGAAAAACATAATAAAGCTAGGCTATATATATATATATAATGAATAAATAGGCCTATATGAGAAATATATTTTTACTTAATAAATTAACAAAAAGAAAGAAAAAAACTGCAACAAGTAGTATGCAGAGTTTCAGTTCATTTTTTGTGCTGCTCGAAAGGAAACCAAGACGGCAGAATGCGGCGTCCTATTTATCTTTATTTTACAAAAGCACAAAGATTGGCTTTTATTGTGAAAGTACACAAATAAAAGCAAACCTTTTACAGTTTCGATTATCTGTATTGAATAGGAGGAGTAGTTGCTCCACTGTTAGAAGGAAAAAATTCGGCCGGTGCCCCGCACACGCACACAGTTAAGCATGGCTAACTTGACAATGCAGCCTGTTCATTATCATAAAAAAATGCAGTCAGCCAAACATATGGAAAAAACACACTGCTCAGTTTAAATAATGTGTGCCGTTAAGCGTTATCACCATACTGCCATAATGTTATGCCATACACATTTGGTTTACATCAATATTGGAACGTGAGTGAAGAACAAAACCAGGTTTACGTAATTAATAATATTTTGGCATTCGAAAACATCGCAAATACAGAAACATTTGGATTTGTGTCGAATGAGAGACTCAACGTTGGTTTCAATTTCGTTTATAGCTTAGCAGCTTATATTTTTCATTCTTGTTCTTTTCTGAATACTGTTAAACTGAAAGGATTTGTTGTGAAGTGAGGGGAACTAGGGATGCACCGATCAAATACTGGCATTTTCTGCCGCATCGGGTATCGGTCAGACGAGAACGATCCAAATCCGATATTGTGTGTATAATATTCTGTTATTGTTAAGCCGCACGAATGGCACAAAAACATTATAAAGCACAATAAAGTTTTTGTGCACTATATTCCAAGTGTTCTGAAGCCGTTCCATAGTTTAATGTGAGGTAGATGAATATTTAAGTCAAGTTCATGTAAACTTTTCATTGTCTTTCATCCTCCATTCAGCATTCAAACTTCGTGTCACGTTCAGTTTCGACAGTCAAGACGATGATACTCTCTCCAAGAGCGCACAGTAACTGAGATTTAAAACTGTTAAAAGAAAAGGCTCAATCTATTGCACAGATTTAATACACTACGCATTAATATCTCTTCACTTTTTGCTTTGAAAATTTCTATGCTTACTGTGTAATTACTGTGACTCCTTGTTACTTCAAGCGCATCATTCGGTGCATGGGATGCGCATAAGCGCTTCGCCCTGTATTGAGACTTTTGTATTATAATATTTTTGCACAATGAAAGATTATTAATAGCCTTTCTTTTTCTGTCCTATCTATAATATGTTGCTGCCTCCATTCCTGTGCTATACATTTAAAAGAAATTTATTTTAATTTATAGTATATATATATATATATATATATATATATATATAGGTTTTTATGAATGTATTTTACAACAATACAAAGAGCAATGTAACATGAGCAGATTTAGTCCTACACTTATTCACTTATATTTGTTCCCCACTAAATAATGTTATTTCACTAAATGTTTAGAT